CTACGCAATTCGTCTTCGCCTCCGAATTCGTCTTCGCGTAATGTGTCTTCGCAATTTGACTTCGCTCCGCAATTCGTCTTCGCGGAATGTGTCTTCGCAATTTGTCTTCGCTACGAATTCGTCTTCGCCTCAGAATTCGTCTTCGCGGAATGTGTCTTCGCAATTCGTCTTCGTCTTCGGGTACAAATAGCCCACGCCCACAGCGGCTACAATGGAAATGCAAGTGGCGAAGTTATTGAGGACATATTTGGCCATGAATGCAAGTGCGTGAAATATGCAGCTCGCAGCCAGCGGTGGTCCATTGTGTCAGGTTTAATTTGTTTTTCTTTCAACGAGCCGGGGACTTTGGCCAGTCTTATGCCGATTTTGAAGGGAATAGCTCCTTAGTGTCCATGTTTGAGAAGGTCAGTGTCTGGTAAGTGCGGTGCACGTGCGATAAACCCTTGGGCCCCACTTCAGTTTGAAGAGGCCATTGTCTCGGCCCTCCCTATTGTCATTGTGCCGGTGTGTAGGCCCTTTGAAGCAAGGGCGCATGCCGTTGCATTACCGTGCAATTGTAATTTGAATCAGCGGTTCGAGCAACTTTGAGTGTCTACCATGGATAGCGAGGCCTCTTTTGAGGATAGGGCCAGACAGATAGGCGTTTCACCCGATGGCATAGCAGCGCTTAAGCGCCGCAGTTTAAACACATTTTGAAAGTTTGCTTTCCTGTCGGCGTATCAGCCAGGTAGTGCAGATGAAGGGCCATTGATCACAGCCCTGGAAGAAGTCCTAGGGGCTCGGCCAGACGCCGCAAACATGGCGTCATGGCGCCGGCTCTTCTTTGAGTCGCACACCTTGGCAATGTCAGACCTGAAAGCGCGCTTAGAGCGAAAAGGGGAAGAGGAACCCAGAAGGCTCCTTATGCCCGAACGTGTCGAGAAGTTACGCCTTGCCAAGCAGGAGCTGGTGGGCATCACGATCGATGCTCATTTGGAGCCCGCACATAGGCTTGTTGATGCCACAGTTCAGCAAGCAGAAGAATCCTCACTGCGGTACATCGCACTGACAGAATGCGTTTCGCGTGAGATGGAGCTTCTGAACCAGAGGAAGGATTCGGCAATTGAGTTCTCTTCAGATGGCACCATGAAGCTGAGCCGAAAGCAGAAGGAAATTAGAATGGACATTTCCGGCAAGCTTCGTGTCCGTATGGCCAATGCAGAGGAGGGCGCTGGCTTACCATTTGGCGAGTGTGTGTTCCTTTCCAAAGCTTGATGCAATAGTACAAAGAATGTTCTCAAATAAGCCAGCCAAGGGATTCCGCGCCGTGTCTCTGCAGCAACTCATCATGGCCGACCAGGAAATGTGGCTGACAGCCGCTCAGGAGGTAGGATGCAGACAGTCAGGGGATTGCATGTTTGCTGGAAGGCAGGCTGCCATGGAAAGCATCCGCACACCAGGTGCAACTGCAGCTGAGTTACAACGCAAGGGTCGGAAGCGCTTCGGCCGGCCCCGGGGCAGTCAGAAGCAGCAACCATGAAGGTCGGCCCTTTTCAATTTTCCTTACCGGTCCCGTTCGCTTCCTTGAAGCCAGTAGATTTTGTGTGCCCTCTTGGTTCTGGAAGTGTTCGCGGGAGTGGCCTCGCTTTCACACGAATGCCGAGCAGCAGGTTTCACTGTGATGTCAGTTAACCAACAGCAGCACAGGTTTTGCAAAGCAAAACTTCTGAAGCTTGACCTCACAAAGCCCAAGGACCAGTTCGTTCTTTTGCATGCATGCGTTTTTTGCGAACATTGCGTATGCGCACTTCGCACCGCCACGCGCGACATCTTCAAGGGCGCCACCGCTCAGATCTGAACAGCATTGCATGGGCTTTCCATGGCTGCAGGGCCAGGACAGACAAAGAGTGCATTCAGCAAACGTGTTGTACGCCCTTACGTTGATTGCGGTGGCGCTGCTGGTTCACCGACGGGCAGTCGTCAGCGTGGAAGGGCCCAGCAGCTCATACATGTGGTTTGTCTTAAAGTCTCTTTGCAGCAAACAGGCAGTTTTGCAACAGTCTTGGCATAGTCTGCAATCGAATGTTTTTGCGGCCTGCGTGCACGGTGGCGCTTGTAAATTGGCGAGGAACCAAGGGCGTTTTCGAAAACCTGCGAAAACTATGTGACGGGTGCCACCAGCATGCAGAGTGGACGCCATGTGCTGCTGCCAATGGCCAGCCTCCGTCAGCTTGTTTTGCATGTTTGCCATTCAAGAGGGGCAATCATTGCAGATGCACACCTGGCAAACGCGCACTTGGTTCGTGGCCGTGCTTTTCGGCAAGCCGGGCAGCAGAAACTGCCGCCCTTGGTTGCAGAATACGCAGTGATCACAGACACTACTCAGACATGTCTATGGCCAAACAGTTGAACCATGTTCCTTTCTTGAAAAGGGGGGACGTTTCCTCAGGGAGCTGTGGTACCAAAGTGGAGGTGCAGGATGAACAGGCTGCCCTTTTTGGCATCTACAGGTCTCCCCGTCTCCCCATGAATTTTTCCTTGCGTCTTTGGAAGTTTGGCATCCGCTGGACTTTGCGTTTCCTTTGCCTGACATCTTGATGAGAAATGTGGCCAGGGTCCTGAACGATGGGCCCCAGCTCACAGTTGCCAGACGTAGGCTGCAAATCAAGAAGATTCAGAGGAGACGATTGCAGCTGCAAGCGCAAGAGCAAGAGCTGCACAACTCGCTTCATCACGAAGTCGGGCTGGTCCTGCAAGGCAAGAATCTTCTTCTGTGGAAAGGGCTGATGCAGGAAACTGGATACAACGACTCTTCATTGTTCAATGAGGTGGTCAGGGGTTTCGAGTTGTGCAATCTCCTGTGAGCCAAGAGTTCCCCCACGGGTATGTCCCTCCGCAGCAATCGGTGGAAAGTTTGAAAGCCCAGGCGCTGTGGATGAGGAAAGCCTCAACGGGAAAATGCAGGTCGACTGGTGACTTGCTGAAAACACTCCAGGAGCAAGATGCGGGTTGGCTGCACGGCCCCTTCACAGAGGCGGAGGTCACCAAACATGTAGGTTCAGAATGTTGGCTCGCCGCACGGAGGTTTCCTTTGCAGCAGAGGGATAAAGTGAGGCTCATAGATGACGGGCTGGCCTCAGGGCTGAACTCCGCATACGGCATTGGCAACAAGCTCAAATTACAAGATGTAGACGCCTTGATATCATTGGTGCTGTGCATTATGAAAGCTGCAGCAGGGGGCACGGTCCGACTCCACTTGTCTTGCGGTGAATGTGTTAAAGTCACCCCCTCTCCGGCTTGGCGAAGCAACTTCAAGCTCTTGTCGCGGACACTGGACTTGACGGCTGCCTACAAGCAACTGGCGGCATTCTGTAATGACTCTTGGAACCGCCATATTGTGGTTCATGATCCGGACAGCAACGCCCCAGCTTTCTTCCGGGCAGCTGCTCTCATGTTTGGATCAACCTCTGCAGTCTACGGGTTCAACAGAGTAAGCAAGTCTCTATGGCACATAGGCGCGCACTTGCTTTCCCTCTGGCACACCTGCTATTTTGACGACTATCCATCAGTTGAAGTAGAAGAAGTTTCTTGCTCAGCCAGAGACTCTTTTGAGCAGCTGTTGGATTGTTTAGGCTGAAAATACGCCGTCGAGGGGCAGAAAGCAAAGGACTATGCTGGATCTTTTGACGTGCTAGGCATGACCTTGGATCTAGACCAGTGTGCGGCCGGCTCTCTCACCATCAAAAACAAGGCTAGCCGGGTGCAAGGCTTGTTGCAGGTGGCGGGGCCCTCATACACCAAGGGAGCATACAGGAGGGCGTGGCCTCCTCACTTGCGGGCCAGCTCACCTTTGCTCAACGCCAGTATGTCGGCGCAGCGCTCAAGCCCGTGACTGCTTTCTTGGCAGGCATAGCCCGGGATGGCTGGGAAGACAGCTTGCAAGACCAGTTGTACGATGCTATGTCTTTCTTATGCAAAATGTTGAGCAACCCCAAGCCGCGAGTTATTTCCGTTCACGATTGCGAAACTCCAGTGGTTCTTTTCACAGATGGAGCATGGGAGCCAACTTCGGACAGACCCGCAGGAGCAGGTTGGGTCATCGTGGATCAGGTAAGCGACACCAGGTTGGTAGTTGAGCTGGAAATCCCCAGCTGCCTTGTTGGAGTTTGGAAGAAGTCGGGCAGGTCGCAGCTCATAGCAGAACTGGAGCTTCTGCCAGTCCTGGCAGCCATCTTGCATCATAAGGACTTGGTGGCGACGCGGAGGGTTCTGCTTTTTGTGGACAATAACGCAGTGCGGGATTGCTTGATCAAGGCTGGCTCCAGATCCCCAACTCTGTTTGCAATGTGGCAGTAGCAGATCTGGGCAGTCTTTTGTTGGTGTCCAGAGTGCCGAGCAAATCTAACATTGCGGACTTGCCCAGCAGGGGACAGGCAGAGCAGGCAGCAGGCTTGATCAAAGGAACTGTGCAGAGCTCTCCAGAGCTGAGCTGCGAATTGTTGCAGCTGCTCTCCAGCTCAATTTCGTTCGCATCGTATTTGGCAGCAGATGGCAAGGCGCTGAAAGGAAAAGGGGGAGAGATCGCTTGAACCATTGCTTGTACATTGTGACGGCCCAGGTAGGTCCATTGTGAAAGAATTGTGTGTCATCTCCCCTTTTTAAGTTGCCAGAAGCATTGTTTCTGTGCTTCCTTGAGAAGGCGCAAATATACGATTGTTTTTGTAGGCTTGATTGTTTTGTGCAACCACATCCCTTACGTCTGAGGACGGAAAAGGCAGCGTGCAGTTCGGTGTCTGCTCATGATGCTCATGGCTGATCATGTACCGTTGTCTCTCTAGGGTTTGGCTTAAAGGATGTTGCGATCTTTTGCAAGACTTTTCTTTTTCACCAATTCATTGGTGTCCTTGGTGTAAAATTGTGGTTGACAGCATTGCGGCATTCCTAAATTACTGCTCTAGCCGGGTAGGTCCCCACAGCCTTAGAGATTGCACCTGTGCACCCTGATGTGCGAATAGACGCAGGCATGCCTGATGGTGCAGATGATGGGAAGAAGCCCCCGGAATGAACATGATTTGCCTGCTGCATGTGAGAATCGGGGCCTGGAATGCTGCCAAGCACCTGCCGAACAGCCAAGGAGCTACTCCATGGGCATAGACCTGGGAACTACTTACTCATGTGTTGGTATCTTCAAGGATGGAGAGGTACGCATGCAATAATACAAGCAGCTTGCAAGCGACTTGTGGGTAATTCGATGCAAGCCTGTTTGCAAGCGAGGTGCAAATCATTGCGAATGACCAAGGCAACCGGACGAGCCTTGTCTAAATCGAAGCAACAGCTAGGCCAACAAAGTTTCCGCAAGGACGCCCTCTTACGTCGCCTGGACAGACAAAGAACGACTGCTGGGAGACGCCGCCAAGAACCAGGCGCTGTCAGACTGAGTTGCTGCCCGTGGTCATGCCATGCCCTTGTGGCAGGTAGCGAGCAACCCGACCAACACGGTTTTCGATGCAAAGCGCTTGATCGGCCGGACATTTCAGGACGACTCGCTGCCATTTGAATCGATCAGAACTCGTCGAACCTGAGGACCCCATCGTACAAGCCGATCTAAAGCTGTGGCCATTCCGGGCGCGCTGCATATTCAGCAGAGCTTAGTTCACTCTTTTTTAGGTTAACCATGCCATGTTAACGGCTAATTCTTGATGTCGGCAGGTTGTGTCGGATGGATCGCCAGACGACAAGCCGCTGATAGAGGCAGGCCAGCATGCCAAGCGGTTAGCTGAGTTGATTTCTTTGGCATGGGCACACCCAGGTGATGTACCAGGATGTGGCGAAGAAATTCCATCCTGAGGAGATCTCTTCTATGAATCTGGTCTGCAAGAGGCAACAGGAAGAATAAAACTGATGAGGGCCGTTGGACCGAGATATGTTTCTTTGCGCGAAGCTTAGGATTCTTACCAAGATGAAGCTGACCGCAGAGGACAGGCTATGAACAGCACCGGCGACCATCATCAGGTCGCGTTGGCGTGCGAGCCGTGTCAGGCCTTTGTGGGGCAGCGTGTGCGCAATGCTGTCATCACCGTACCAGCGTATTTCAACGACTCTCAGAGGCTCCCCATGGAGCTTTGCTTGGCCTTGCCAGGCCTAATGAATAGTTTAAATAGTCCTCTTGCTGGCAGGCAAGCGACAAAGGACGCTGGCGAGATTGCTGGATTGCAGCTCGCCTCAAGCCACAGCGAACCTGCATTCCCTAGCTTGTGCTAAGGGTTGTTGCATGACTTTGGTGATGGGGAAGCGTGCTGTCGGGGCAATGTGTTGTGAGTCAGAATGCTTCTTGCGCATTGGCTTGTCAATGTGGGCATCGCGAGATTGTCAGGAATGTTTTGCGAATTGTCAACGAGCCCACCGCGGCTGCAATTGCATATGGACTGGACACAAAGTCCAAAGAAAAAAAGACCAAATCCGGGGCAGCTTGGCTAGTTTTGTTTATCATTGCACGGTTGCAAGCAATGTTCATTGCCTTCTGCTGTTTTAGCTGCGTAGCGCCAGCTCACCGCACCGAAGCCATGCCACAGTTGATGAGGATATGGCCAGACAACAGTGTTGCTATCTTGTTTGGATCGCTGTGACAGAAGCAGGTGATGAACAACGGGGCGTTTGGCTGGAGATGTTCAGGCTTTTGAGCGTCCGGCATGAGTTTGGTTGCAAAGTTGCGGCAAGAGCAATCGCGAGTCAATGACTGCCAATCAATGATGCGCTCACAGTGGCTGGCAAAGGTTGCGCCAGAGCTTGCTTGCTAGCCTCCATACAGCGCAAACAAGGCCCTTGCACAGGACATGAGCAGGTGAAAGGCAGTGTTGCCCGAAGTCGGGCATACCAGCCTTCCACCTTTCGGATCGCTGTGACAGAAGCTGGTGATGAACAACGGGGCATTTGGCTGAAGATGTTCAGGCTTTTGAGCGGCCGGCACGAGTTTGGTTGCAAAGTTGAGGCAAGAGCAATCGCGAGTCAATGACTGCGAATAAATGATGCGCTCACAGTGGCCGGCAAAGGTTGCGCCAGAGCTTGCCAGCTAGCCTCCATACAGCGCAAACAAGGCCCTTGCACAGGACATGAGCAGGTGAAAGGCAGTGTTGCCCGAAGTCGGGCATACCAGCCTTCCACCTTTCGGATCGCTGTGACAGAAGCAGGTGATGAACAACGGGGCATTTGGCTGGAGATGTTCAGGCTTTTGCGCGTCCGGCACGAGTTTGGTTGGCAAGTTGAGGCACCAGCAATCGCGAGTGAATGACCGCCAATGAATGATGCGCTCACAGTGGCTGGCAAAGGTTGCGCCAGAGCTTTCTTGCTAGCCTGCATACAGCGCAAACAAGGCCCTTGGACAGGACATGAGCAGGTGAAAGGCAGGGTTGCCCGAAGTCGGGCATACCAGCCTTCCACCTTTCGGATCGCTGTGACAGAAGCTGGTGATGAACAGCGGGGCATTTGGCTGGAGATGTTCAGGCTTTTGAGCGGCCGGCACGAGTATGGTTGCAAAGTTGAGGCAAGAGCAATCGCGAGTCAATGACTGCCAATGAATGATGCGCTCACAGTGGCTGGCAAAGGTTGCGCCAGAGCTTGCCAGCTAGCCTCCATACAGCGCAAACATGGCCCTTGGACAGGACATGAGCAGGTGAAAGGCAGTGTTGCCCGAAGTCGGGCATACCAGCCTTCCACCTTTCGGATCGCTGTGACAGAAGCTGGTGATGAACAGCGGGGCATTTGGCTGGAGATGTTCAGGCTTTTGAGCGGCCGGCGCGAGTTTGGTTGCAAAGTCGAGGCACCAGCAATCGCGAGTGAATGACAGCCAATGAATGATGCGCTCACAGTGGCTGGCAAAGGTTGCGCCAGAGCTTGCTTGCTAGCCTCCATACAGCGCAAACAAGGCCCTCGGGCATACCAGCCTTCCACCTTTCGGATCGCTGTGACAGAAGCAGGTGATGAACAACGGGGCATTTGGCTGGAGATGTTCAGGCTTTTGAGCGTCCGGCACGAGGTTGGTTTCAAAGTTGAGGCACCAGCAATCGCGAGTGAATGACCGCCAATGAATGATGCGCTCACAGTGGCTGGCAAAGGTTGCGCAAGAGCTTGCTTGCTAGCCTCCATACAGCGCAAACAAGGCCCTTGGACAGGACATGAGCAGGTGAAAGGCAGGGTTGCCCGAAGTCGGGCATACCAGCCTTCCACCTTTCGGATCGCTGTGACAGAAGCAGGTAATGAACAGCGGGGCATTTGGCTGGAGATGTTTAGGCTTTTGAGCGGCCGGCACGAGTTTGGTTGCAAAGTTGAGGCACCAGCAACCGCGAGTCAATGACCGCCAATGAATGATGCGCTCACAGTGGCTGGCAAAGGTTGCGCCAGAGCTTTCTTGCTAGCCTCCATACAGCGCAAACAAGGCCCTTGGACAGGACATGAGCAGGTGAAAGGCAGGGTTGCCCGAAGTCGGGCATACCAGCCTTCCACCTTTCGGATCGCTGTGACAGAAGCTGGTGATGAACAGCGGGGCATTTGGCTGGAGATGTTCAGGCTTTTGAGCGGCCGGCACGAGTTTGGTTGCAAAGTTGAGGCAAGAGCAATCGCGAGTCAATGACTGCCAATGAATGATGCGCTCACAGTGGCTGGCAAAGGTTGCGCCAGAGCTTGCCAGCTAGCCTCCATACAGCGCAAACATGGCCCTTGGACAGGACATGAGCAGGTGAAAGGCAGTGTTGCCCGAAGTCGGGCATACCAGCCTTCCACCTTTCGGATCGCTGTGACAGAAGCTGGTGATGAACAGCGGGGCATTTGGCTGGAGATGTTCAGGCTTTTGAGCGGCCGGCGCGAGTTTGGTTGCAAAGTCGAGGCACCAGCAATCGCGAGTGAATGACAGCCAATGAATGATGCGCTCACAGTGGCTGGCAAAGGTTGCGCCAGAGCTTGCTTGCTAGCCTCCATACAGCGCAAACAAGGCCCTCGGGCATACCAGCCGTCCACCTTTCGGATCGCTGTGACAGAAGCAGGTGATGAACAACGGGGCATTTGGCTGGAGATGTTCAGGCTTTTGAGCGTCCGGCACGAGGTTGGTTGCAAAGTTGCGGCAAGAGCAATCGCGAGTCAATGACCGACAATGAATGATGCGCTCACAGTGGCTGGCAAAGGTTGCGCAAGAGCTTGCTTGCTAGCCTCCATACAGCGCAAACAAGGCCCTTGGACAGGACATGAGCAGGTGAAAGGCAGGGTTGCCCGAAGTCGGGCATACCAGCCTTCCACCTTTCGGATCGCTGTGACAGAAGCAGGTAATGAACAGCGGGGCATTTGGCTGGAGATGTTTAGGCTTTTGAGCGGCCGGCACGAGTTTGGTTGCAAAGTTGAGGCACCAGCAATCGCGAGTCAATGACTGCGAATAAATGATGCGCTCACAGTGGCTGGCAAAGGTTGCGCCAGAGCTTGCTAGCTAGCCTCCATACAGCGCAAACAAGGCCCTTGCACAGGACATGAGCAGGTGAAAGGCAGGGTTGCCCGAAGTCGGGCATACCAGCCTTCCACCTTTCGGATCGCTGTGACAGAAGCTGGTGATGAACAGCGGGGCATTTGGCTGGAGATGTTCAGGCTTTTGAGCGGCCGGCACGAGTTTGGTTGCAAAGTTGAGGCAAGAGCAATCGCGAGTCAATGACTGCCAATGAATGATGCGCTCACAGTGGCTGGCAAAGGTTGCGCCAGAGCTTGCCAGCTAGCCTCCATACAGCGCAAACATGGCCCTTGGACAGGACATGAGCAGGTGAAAGGCAGGGTTGCCCGAAGTCGGGCATACCAGCCTTCCACCTTTCGGATCGCGGTGACAGAAGCTGGTGATGAACAGCGGGGCATTTGGCTGGAGATGGTCAGGCTCTTTGAGCGGCCGGCACGAGTTTGGTTGCAAAGTTGAGGCACCAGCAATCGCGAGTCAATGACTGCCAATGAATGATGCGCTCACAGTGGCTGGCAAAGGTTGCGCCAGAGCTTGCTAGCTAGCCTCCATACAGCGCAAACAAGACCCTTGCACAGGACATGAGCAGGTGAAAGGCAGGGTTGCCCGAAGTCGGGCATACCAGCCTTCCACCTTTCGGATCGCTGTGACAGAAGCTGGTGATGAACAGCGGGGCATTTGGCTGGAGATGGTCAGGCTTTTGAGCGGCCGGCACGAGTTTGGTTGCAAAGTTGAGGCAAGAGCAATCGCGAGTCGATGACTGCCAATGAATGATGCGCTCACAGTGGCTGGCAAAGGTTGCGCCAGAGCTTGCTAGCTAGCCTCCATACAGCGCAGACAAGGCCCTTGGACAGGACATGAGCAGGTGAAAGGCGGTGTTGCCCGAAGTTGGGCATACCAGCCTTCCACCTTTCGGATCGCTGTGACAGAAGCAGGTGATGAACAACAGGGCATTCTCCATACAGCCAAACAAGGCCCTTGGTCAGGCCATGAGCAGGTGAAAGGCAGTGTAGCCCGAAGTCGGGCATACCAGCCTTCCACCTTTCGGATCGCTGTGACAGAAGCTGGTGATGAACAGCGGGGCATTTGGCGGGAGATGTTTAGGCTTTTGAGCGTCCGGCACGAGTTTGGTTGCATAGTTGAGGCACCAGCAATCGCGAGCGAATGACCGCCAATGAATGATGCGCTCACAGTGGCTGGCAAAGGTTGCGCCAGCGCTTGCTCGCCAGCCTCCATTCAGCGCAAACAATTCCCTTGGACAGGACATGAGCAGGTGAAAGGCAGTGTTGCATGAAGTCGGGCATACCAGCCTTTCTCCTTTGCGATCGCTGTGACAGATTCTGGCTTTTGAGCGGCCGGCACCACCAGCAATCGCGAGCCAAAGACTGGCAATGAATGATGCGCTCACAGTGGCTGGCAAAGGTTGCGCCAGAGCTTGCTTGCTAGCCTCCGTACAGCGCAAACAAGGGCAGTTTCCACGTGTCAGTGTCATTCATTGCCTCGGCATTTGCTCTTGCTTGTTGAGTACACCATTGAATGCTTTTTTTTTTATTGGCATGATTTCAGGGAACTATTTTTTTCCCCCCCGGAGCTGCTTTACGCCCCCTCTTCAAAGTAATTCCAGCTGTACTCGCTAGATATCACAAGCTTTGTGCTGCTGTTGTTGGGGTGGGGTGGAGGAGTGGTTCCAATCCGCGGTGCCATCCCAGGAGAAGGAGACAAACATTTTGGTGTTCGACATGGGCGGAGGGACGTTTGATGCCTCTTGCCCGCATGGCCGCGCCGTGATCGGCCGTCCGAAGGCCGACTGCAGCCGAGGTTTCTATCCTGACGATCACCGACACCGTGTTCGAGGTGAAAGCCACCGCTGGTGATCCACACCTGGGCGGGGAGGATTTCGACAACCGCCGCTCGGCTTGGCTCGACGGGGCCAAGGCCGTGAGGCCGTGAGGCCCCGCCCGAGGTATGCTCAGCTACTGCATATCGGAGTTTCGGCGCAAGCACAAGTCGGATCCCACGCGGCGCCTTGGCATGGCAGATCTGTGCGCATCGCGGTTGAAACGTAAGACGGCTCCCCAAGCCGTTTGCCCAAGGGCAGTGGCTTGCTTTTGGCTTGATGGGTATCAATGTATCCTTGGGGGGCCTCAGCAGTTTTGAATTGAACCATTGCTGATGATTTGCATTCGACGGTAGTGAGGCCACACACTTTAACCTATTGAGACTCAGCACTGATTTTGGTTCTGAGAGCCCGTCACGGGCATGTCTCTGCACCCATGTTGGCTACACTGTCGCTATTTGGCTGTTTGACCCCTCACTCGATGTTTTGCCATCGCGAGGAACCAGAGGGCAATACGACGGCTCCGAACGCAGTGTGAACGGGCAAAGCGGCAGCTGTCCACCCAAACATCTGTCACTATCGAGCCAGGCCCCTAGTGGCCTGCGCGTTGAGAAGGGGATTGGGTTGGGTTGGTAAGGGCCTGCCTTTCAAACTGCAAAGGCCTTTGGGCATGGGAGATAGGGGCGAGTTGGTACGAAGCGGTGCGAACGTTTCAACGTGTTTGATCAGCCAGCCCTCAATTCGGGTCAAGTCGGGCCCCAGGGTGGACAGCTTGCACGAGGGCCAGGACTTCAATCTTCGCCTTTCGCGTGCCAAGTTCGAGGAGCTGTGTCAGCGGCCCATGCCACGAAGCGAGACTCTTTCTTTGTCAAAGAGACGAGGCATGGACTACTTCAAGAAGGCCATGGAGCCTGTCTCCCAGCGCGATGCCTAGACGGCCCAAAACCCAACCACAATTCTGGAAGCTGAATTCTGAGAGGGGTCCGGCTGGCTCAGCTGATGCCGGCTACGAGGTGTTTGGGCGACAGCGGCTTGCCCAAATCGCAGATCTCAGACGTAGTGCTTGTTGGCGGCTCCACACGTGCCACGGGCAGCATTGCTCCGCTCAGATCCCGACCTGCTTGGCCTTCGCCATGGCCAGGCATCCCCAAAGTCCAAGAGCTGATCAGCTCCTTCTTCAATGGAAAGCAGCTGTGCAAGGCCGCAAGTGGCCGTGCGAAGCTGTGAAGCTCAGCCCAAGCAAGCTCGAGCAAGCTTGCAGCGGAAGGAGATCAATCCAGACGAAGCTGTGGCGTATGGAGCCGCTGTGCAAGCGGCGATTGTCTCTGGCACAGGCGTCTTTTGGCCCAGAAAGCATCTCTCAATGCCCTCCATTGCTGTCTTTCTCCCTGCAGGAACGGAAGAAGTTGAAAATATGCTGCTCTTGGATGTGGCGCCGCTTTCATTGGGTAGCTTGGCTTGGTTGTTTGTGTCCTGCAGTGCCTGCACTGCTTGCTTGCAACAGCATGTTTCACAAGGCAAGGCAAGGATCCAAGAGCCTCGACTTCTCAGTGATGCATGTTTCCCGAGGAATTGAGATGGCCGGAGGCATGATGCAGAAGCTGATTGAGAGGAACAGCACCATTCCCACAAACAAAAGCCAGGCCCACAGGGTTTCAACTTGCAGCACCGCGATTCTATTTGATGCAGCACACAGTGAAGCAAGAACTGCAACACTGCGGAACGGCTTGCCCGTCAGGACTTCACCACGGCAGAAGATTATCAAGATTACGTTGAGATCAAGGTGCTTGCATTGCCTATCAGCAAGAACCACTTTGCTGTGCAAACTTCAGGTGTATGAAGGAGAGCGCGCAATGGTGAAAGACACTTGGGACTATGCGAAGTGTTTGCATGATGAGGTTGCCTGTGTTGACTGTGTTGACCACGCCTGAAATTGACCACGTCACCTGCTGGCCAAGGACAACAACTATTTGGGCAAATTTGTGCTGACAGGGATCCCCAAGACGTTGCGAGGTGTGCCAAAAATCAAGGCCTTGACGTGACAACTTGACTACTTCATAGCGAGAGATGCACGAGGGATTATAGAAAGTTTAAAAGTTTTCCAAGTTCTAGTAGGTCACCTTCAATGTGGACTCGAATGGGATCCTGGAAGTGACCGCGGAGGAGACGGGCACTTGCTATGGAAAGGTTTGGGCACAAGGGCACACGGGCACACGCAAGGATATGAAGACGCACCGCAAGGGCGAAATCCAGATCACGAATGAGAAAGGCCATGGGACTTGAAGATGTTTGAAGGATTGAGCTGCACCCAACTGGCTCTTGGAGGCCGATTGTCACAGCGGGATATTGAGAGGATGCTGCAGGATGCTGAGGCTCACAAGGCACGCGCGTGCCTTTCTAGTGTCACCTGTGGATTCAATTCAATCTCAGCTTCGCACAGGAGGAGGATGATCTTGCAAGAGGCGAGATGATGGCACGTGAGGCCGAGCTTCCGGACTTTGCTGGATGATGCCAATGCCCTGTCAGTCGATCACGGTGTATATGAGACGGACTAGGAAGGCGCTGGAGGATATAGATTCAGCCATGCCCTCGGAATTTCATTGACGCGCGAGGGTTGCCAGCCTTGCAGTGGCTCAGATATTGCAGCCCGCCATCCAGAGGTCAGAGAACTGTAGCATGCGTCACTCGCCAAGGAGAAGATATTAAAGCGAGACCGCGAACGGCTCGAGAAGAAGATGGAGGAGGCGCCAGAGATCTTGAAATATAGGCATGTGCTCAGCCTTGAAGTGAAGCTAGGTTGACTTGTGGCTGGATGAGCATTCGAACAAGGCCGGTGCTCCAGGAGCGGCCATTTTTCCGGTGGTTGCACCTGAGAAGTGCACAAGGCCACGAAGGAAGAGTTCGAAGCCAAACAGCGGGTTTGGCCCTCGTATTGGGTATGTGCATTGTCAGCTTGTTGAGGCTGTCATTTGCTGGCAAGGAACTGGAATCAGCCATGAACACCATCATGCTGAAGATCAACAGGCAACACATCCTGGGAATGCGTCCGGCATGCACACGCGCACGCCCACGCGCGCGCAAGCCATACGCATGCGCAAGCTGCGCAAGCCACACGGACACACGCACACAAGCTTTTAAACAGAATTTGGTCTTTGACCACGTGGCGCAGGTCTGAAAGCGACTTTTGGGAGCAGCAGGCTGGGTGATTCCGTGATGACGCCAAATGCATCCAATACTGAGTCATGACGTGGCTTTGCAGGGCCAACTCTGTTGCCAACGCTGCAAAGCTTTCATCGCTTGGCTGCTTGCTTTTTCTTGGGCCTCGCAATGGTGCAGGCCATTTTGCCAGAGAACGAAAAGACTATCGAGCAGGGAGGGTTGCTTGTCTAATTGCCGGAATTATTAATTGAACAAGGCAGCCTGCACGCAACCTCCCAAGGTACTTCCTGGACTCTGGCCTGGACATTCGCAGCCGGGCAAAATTGAAAACAGATGCTCCCGCCATGTACCGCTCATACGCAACATGCTTGCCAGTGTGAGCGCGGTTTCCTCATTCTGATGGCACAGAAATACGCTTGAGAGCCCGCATCTGAACAGGAAAACGTGCGCGTGTCCCTCAATTCTGCACAAGCGAGGCGACTTGATCGAGGATCCAGACTGAGTAGCTTCGTTTGCTGCATTTTGTGTAGCTCAAAGCCAGCCGCAGCAGAAGCATCGCTGACTGGCCGCAGAAATGGCGCCGTCAGATGGCCTTTTGCCAGCCAGCCCTCCGCTTGGTATCGGAGCCTGGCAATGCCGACTTGGAGCACAGTAGCTGCAGCGCAAATTTGCAGATTTGCAAGTCAGTAGGGGCAGTGAGGCAGCAAAGTTCGCCTGCCCTTGCCCCGATATTTTTCAGCTTGTGCCATCTTCCAGACTCGCGACGCGACAAGTGCGCTGCATGACTCGTCGGATGCGCTGGACATTGGCATGCAAGGATTGCAGGTAGCGCGCTGTGAGCGTGCAAGGTGCGCCGTGAGCTCATCAAAGCAATGGGCCTGGAGGCGGCCGATGTTGCTTTCTGCACTTGGGAGGTAAGCAACTGGGGCCACCTTGGTGGTCTCAGGGTTTGTGTCAAACTGCTTGGCTTTCTGTTGATTTCCCGCATGGCCTACAGGTGTGTGTGTGTGTGTGTGTAATCCTTGTGTTTTGCAGTGTGGCTCTAGCCTGACGGGCCATGAGCAATGCAAAGCTGACAAGCGCCAGCCCGGCTGCTTTAAAACAGCCCCTTGCCTGCACCTCTTGCTTTAGGACAAGCAGCGCTGGCCACGCCGCAGCCGTGCTTACACGTGAGGCCAATTTTAGAGCCAGCCTTTGATGTAAGGCTGGCAAAGCTCCAGAAGAGAAGGGAGCAACGAGAACAATGGCCAGTTGAGCGACAAGAAGTTCGATTACCTGCAAGTAGTGGTGCCCCACCTGTGCTGGAGCTAGAGGAGCCTTGAAACTTGTGCTGGCTGAAACATGCGTGTGCAAGGATTGTTGGCGAGTTTCGTGATTGGGCAGGATGTGGATGACTGGCTTCAATTGGTCCTAGACCACCGTCGGCTGCCTCCCAACGACAAGACGCTTGACCAGCCAGTATTCTTTATTTCTGCTGTGATTCTTTTTGTGCTCAGTCATGTTTTCTGCTCGGCATAGGAACCCCAGCTCGCTGGCAGTGCTGGAGAGCTTGGGGAACACCTGTCCGGCCTCTTGCGGCCCGGGGGTGGAGACGGTGCGGCGCATCTACGCAGACCCTGCGGCGCTGAAGGAGCATCGCCGGCCGCGGCGGCGCCAGACGCTGCGGAGCTCGGACAACCCCGTGGGGCAGACGGTGCCCTGCGGCGCCCGCTACGAGGACACGCTGCCGGAGACCCGGCTGGCGCTTTCGCAGCCCGCCTTCTTCGATCCGGAAGACCGCGACCGGGACCGGCCAGACCGGGGGGGTGTCTTCTTCCAGACCGAGGTGGAACTGGAAAGGCCGGAGAGGCCAGAGAGGCCGGAGAGGCCGGAGAGGCCGGAGAGGCCGGAGAGGCCGGAGAGGCCCTTGGCCAGCTCAGTGCCAACCCTGCCCAAGATCTCCAAGGACGAGCTAGAGATGTCAACAACTGTTGAGCTGAGGTCCTCCGCGTCTGAGATGTGCTTCGAGCCACGACAAAACCAAGCGGACTTGGGGAAAAAGGAGAGCAAGGTACAAGCGCATCGGCTTATGAAGGCTTTCCACAAGGCTGTCGCTGGGAAGTCAGTGCTGATTCTCACAGACAAGGGGGAGATTAGGAAATCAATCATGCGAAGCTTGCTGTGCGCAGCCAATGAGATGTCGATTTGCTTTGCTCGCTCAACAACTGACCTTTGGAAGCGCTTGCGAGAGAAGGAGCCCCACCACGCCTTGATTGTTGACATGAGCAAGGCAGATTTGGAGGTGGAAGGGCTTGTGAGAACTGTCCGAGCTGATCCGCAGCAGGGAGACCTTCCCATCATCGTCCTCTCGGATCCTCAAGTGGAGTTGCCGGATCTGGTGCGCCAGAGCTGCAGCTTCGTCGTCTTCCACCCGGTGTCCTCATCCATGCTGCGGGAGGCGCTTCTCTGGTGCTTCAACCGCAGCGCTCTGCGACACCAGCGCTACTACTGGCCAGCCCCTGCCAAACCCACTGGGCATACCGGGCATTCAGGGCATGCGGGGCATGGGCACAATGGGACTGGCACGCATGTCGCAACTCTCAATTTGGGAGTTCGGGCGAGGCAAATCAAGTGCCATTAGGGCACAGGCTAGATGTGAGTTGCCGAGACAGCCACACATAGCACCAGGACCTAGCCGCCAACCTTGAAGTCTTCGCGTTTCATTGGGTTTCACGTTTCACTCTCAGTCTCACATGTCTCACTCTTTCTGTGGTTGGAAGGCAGCTTCCAGGGCCGTGCCCTGCGAAATGCTGCTTGGCTCGTTGCAAGACTTCAGCCGCACTTCGAAACAGAGGCGCTTGTGGTGCAAGTAGAGAGGAGTGAGAAAGAGGAAGAGAGACAACCGAGATTCAGGCGGCAACTGCACAGCCAGAGCCTCGTGGGGTCATGTTGCAGACAACTGTGCCCTATGTTGGCATTTAGGTGGCCCATGCCAGATTCCGCGGTGACCCTCATGTGGCGCAGTCCGCTGAGGCCTCACCCTTCCGCAGCGTCCTCGCACCATCCTGCAGCAAAGCCTTTGCGTGGTCCCAAGTCAAGGCAAGCAACCAAAGCTTAAGCTTGTGATTTCCCAGGCCCGGGAAAAAAGCCAATGCCGACAAGAACAGAGGTGCATGTGCATCTTCTTGAGCCACTGTGCGCATTGGCTCATAGGAGACTCGGGATCCTTGCCTCCTTTGAGGCCTGGCATTAGCATTCATTGCGAGCTGGCATTCGGTTGCGCAGCCTACGCAAGCTATGCCTGGGGGCAGCATTCCGCCAAAGCACACGTGCCCACTCCAGAGTCCAGATTGGGACCTCATGTCGCTGGAGCATCTTGAGAGGCGGCATCCACTTCCAGCGCCAGATGTGCGGGTCACTTGGTGCTTAGCAGTCTGCAGCCATGTCTGATTAAGCCGGGCGAGAATCGTCTTCGCAAATGATTGTCACCCTTGCTGAGCTAGTGCGAACGGAACTTGTTTGGTGCTTGCAGCCGCTGGGCTCAAGTTGTGCTGGAGCGCCCAGTGCCAAATGCGAATTCATGCTCCTCTTAAATTGCCTTGAATTGCCACTTGGTATGATGAGCCCCGGTCACACTTTGCCAGCTATGTGAGTTGAGGACTCTGCTTGATGGGTTCTGACAGTGATAGTCACAGTGACGCCTCGAAGCTTGTCTGCAGTAGAGTTGCATTTGCTGGGCAGAGCGTAGACCAAGAGAGAGGCATGCATGCGTGAGCGCGCATGCGTGGGCAAGTTTCGCCTGCTGAGGAGTGTAGTTGCCATAGACGAAGCGAATGCCAGCCGCTTATCCCCGCTAGCCATGGGTCTTGGCGGCCCTTTCAAAGATGTGCCATTTGAGCAGCCAGGTCGAAGATGCAGCGGAAGAGTCTCCTATCTGCACTGGTTGGCCACTGCAGTTTGCAAACGTAGCATGCAAGGATCAACATCAATATCTTCGAGGAGCTCCGCCTTCCAAAGGATACCGTCAGTTCCATGCTGCAGGCAGCTCCCGGTTGTCTGTGAGAGAAGCACATCGCCAGGGGAGGCATGGCTCCCGAATAGGATAATGAGACGGTCAGAACGACTGCACCATGCACTGGCTCGCTTTGTCTTTTGCTGCTGTTGCAGGTGTTTTCATTCTGGTTCCCACACAGGATGATAACATGAATAATCCAACGTGGTCGCTGTGCATTCTGGACGTTCCCAGAATTGAAGTTATGCACACTACAAGCATCGCCTTAGGCAAGTGCTCCAGTTGGCAATTGTGCTTGTGTTTGTTTGTAGTCCTGGCAATATCTTGGTTCTTCGGTGTAATGTTTATCGGTGCACTAATGCCGCGGATGCCAACCCACATTGCATTTCAGGCAGGTGCAAACACAAATTTTTCATTGGTATGTGAGCAGCTTTGCACTGGGGGCAGGGCGGTACGTCGCTTGTGGCCTGCTTTTTTTGTTGCTTGTGACCTCCTTTGTTGGTCGCTTGTGACCTGCTTTTGTCTCGCACCTTTGCGCCCACGCACACACGCCATCCGCCCCCACGCGCTCGCGGACCCAACCACCGACGAACCGACGCACCTACGCATGCACGGCTTCCATGAACCCACGCATGCTCGCACGGTTGCCACGCACCCACGCGGAACAAAGTCCGATGCAGAAACAAAACACGCCGACGCAGAAACCAAAATTCGACGATTCGGAAACCAAAGAATGGAGCGATTCAGAAACCGAGGACGGCGATTCGGAAACCGGCGAAGCAGCAGCCAACACACTCTGGGGGAGGGGTGGTGGTTTTGTTCTACAGAGACATTCGTTTGCAGCTTTCAGTTCAATGCTCATGTCTGTCGAAGGCTGCCTTGCTCTGGGTCTCGCGCTTCTTCTCGTGTCGGTGGCTTTTCTGATCTCACCCTACTCTTGCTCCGTTTTTTCAGGTCTGCGTGCTGTACTTGGACTCTTTATTTGATTGTGTGACTCTGCCTGCGGGCCCGATTCTTTCGTTTGTTGCTGAGACTGTGTTGATTCCTGCCTGCTTTCCACTTGATTTTTCTGCTTTGGAATCTTACGTTGCTTCCTGTGGTCTTGTTGGGTTTCTGTTCATCCCCCCAGAGCGTCATCATCTGCTGGAGCCCGACCCACCCCCCTCCCCAAGGTTGCTGGAGCGTGCGCATAACACTGAACGTCATCATCCCCCCCCAACCCCTCCCTCACCAACCAGAGCATCATCAATCCCCCCCCCCCCCCCCCCCACACCCCAGATTTGCAAGTGCAGGTCCAAGTGACATTTCCAATACTGTCTTTAAAGCAGGGAATCAAGCCTCGCTACGGCGCGGCCGTTCAGATCCTGGGATCGGCATGGGGAAGGCCCAAGACGTCGCAGGCCGTGGCTCCAAGCACTCGATCGCTCGATCGCCGTTTCTCGTGCGATGTCGTCGTCTTTGCCGGGCTCGGCGGTGCTGGTCACGGGCGCAGCACGGGGCATCGGCCGGGCGATCGCAGAGCACTTGGCGAAGAACGGCGCCAAGGCGCCGGGTCCGTTCAACCAGCTGTTTGCGGCTCTCCCTCTTGTCCTCGTTTTTTTGTTTAGTTTTGTGGGGGAGGGGGGGGAGGGGAGTGCTGCAAGATTTGATTGATGGCAAGTTCTGAACAACAGAGATGTGTTGGGGCGTAGGGGCAGTGCAGGTGGTGGTGACAGACGTGCCGTCCAACTCCGCACTGATCGAAGCGCTCTGCGCCGCGCCTGACATCCTGGCGGCGCCGCTGGGGGACGTCACAGACGAGGAGTTTCGGCAGTCGCTACTCCGGGAGGCCGGCAAGCTGGCAGGGCCCGGAGGTGCCTGGGCAATTGTGGGCTTCCTTTTGCAGGTTTTCTGGAGGGATGTGCGGACTTCCGTCCTGGTTCCGTATTAGCTTGTTTTGACACGCTGACATATGCGGCATAGCTATGTGGGCGTAGTCGGCTCGCGAATCGCAAGGTTTGCGGGGCCTGGTGAACAATGCCGGGGTGGGCCTCTTCACTGGCCTCCTGGATGGCACGGAGCCGGCTGAGGTGCAGAGGTGCTTTGAGGCCTTCGCTGGCCATGTTTGGAACAGCAACATTCAGAACCAGAGGGCCATCCCCATGTTGGGGTCTAAGTTCCTAGCCGTCTTAGCCCATCCCGCAGAAACTTTGCTCGTGCTATGTTAAGACTGTTACGTGTGTTCACAGATGCGATTCGGTACAGAAGCCACAAAACTCAACGGTGAGGTGAACGTGGCCGCCCCCCTGCGTTTGGCGCAGCTCTGGGCCCAGAGCCGAGTGGAGCAGAAGCTGAGCGGCGCCGTGGTGAACGTCTCCTCCCAGTCCTCCACCCGGGTCATTCCAGCGCACACCTCCTATAGCGTTAGCCTCTTGGGTGAGCGTTTGGGGGTCGCTGCCTTGCAGTTTGTTTTGTTGTCTCCGGCTGCACGCCCATGCCCTCAAGTGAAGAATTAATTATTTGCAAGCGGGTAAAAGCCATTGCCGAGGTAAGGCCGCCATCGATCAGGTGACTCGTCACCTGGCGGTGGAGCTGGGGCCCCACCAGCTGCGGTGCAATGCCGTGAAGCCCACGGTGGTGCGTACCGAGTTGGGGCGCGCTGCATGGCCCGAGGGGGCGCCAGAAACTCAGGCAAGGAGACGCCCCGAAGCTCCGAAGCTTCGAAGCCCGGGGTACAATCTTCTTCTGCATGCTTTTCAGGCTGCATGAGACGGCCCGTTGGATGGATGCAACCTTGTTATTGAACAAAGCTGCAAGGTTTGGACTGCTGATGGCGTAGCCAGACGGCACACCCACCCCGATCATTTGCCGATAATGCATGAATGACAGAGGACAGGTCGACAGAACGCATCCGCCTCTGCCAACGACAATGAATTTGCTGCAGCATTCAAATGTACAACAAAAACGAGAATAGCCAATGCCATTTCGGGCTGTGCCCGTGAAATCTAGCTGTGTGAAAACCACAGAATTTGGAAACGGTTCTCGCCTTGCACAGCACGACCCTTCGTGGCGTAGCCGGGCCTGCGCGTGCGCAGGCCATGCTGTCAAAGATTCCCCTGGGCCGTTTTGCGGAGCCGGACGACATCGCCAGTGTGGTAGCCTTCCTGCTGGACGATCAGAGGAGTGGGATGGAGCACGTGCTAAAGTAGTCCTATTCCCGGGAAAGAGACGGTTCTCAGCTTGCAGCACCCATTGGTGTGCATAATGCACATTGCGTGTTTGTGCTGGCAGGAGTGGAATGGTGAACGGTGCGTGCATCCCTGTGGACGGCGGCTTTCTCTGCGTGGGATAGCAGGGATGCCGAAATCTTTTGCTCATGCAGCTGCAAGCTGTGAGACGCTTTTGAATCAGACAGAGGCCACAGATCGTCCCAACAAAAGTTTGGCAGTTGGTTTCTGGAGCCACAAAACTCTGACCAAAGCCGGGTGCTTGCTTCAGGGCAACGCCCGATGTATAGCTACCCAGCCGTGGATGGTTGGAGTGGTGATTTTGTGGCTTCAGCCACTTCAGCCATATGCCAAGGTAAAAAGAAGCTGGACCCCAAGAGAGGTGTAAGTCTTTGCCATCAGGGGGAACAAGGCAACACTGGTTGGAGCAGGCGAGTGCGACATCTTGGTGCACCAAAGGTCCTTCCCACTTGTTCACAGAAAGGCATGCGCAACTGCTGAATTGCAGTTGCAGACGGTGCAACCAGGTGTGTTGCCAGGTTCTGCGTTTCGCAAGGATGGCATGCCGTCAACAATGGGACCTCGTTTCAAGGTGGTGCAAACTGACGCCCGGAACCCAAAAGGAGCTTTGATTTAGGCGACGGATTTGCTTCTTGTGACTGGGGTTGCCCTGCCCAGAATTTGAGTTAGAACTCGAATCAGCTTGCGGACGATTGGGCTTGAGGCTGTGACCTGCTTAGGGCTGAGGGGCGTTTGCTGCGCTGGGGAGGATGCCCCTTGCATACTGGGCAGTAGATCGGATCCCTTTCCTCAGAACAGAGATTTGTGAGTCCAAAAGTACTGGGAGGGTTTTAGACAGGCGTGGCAGCGGTTCCTTTCTTGCTTCGATACGAGGGAGGCCTGCGGTTCGGCATTGCATCTTGGCAAAAGAAGAGGTGGGAGCAGATCTGTCGAAGTGTGATCTGGGGCTCTGTTTGGCTGACATTGTCCCCGGTGGCCAAGGGCAAGCTGTTTGACTTATGTGCTGCACATGACATGACACACACTCAACACCACGCGGTCAACTGATCTTTTCGTTTTGGCTTCAGTTTGTGTTTGAGTGTTTGCCTTTGTTCCCAGCCGATTGTTGTGAAGATTGCTGCGCCGTTATTCAATTCCCACCGAGTACACATTGGATAGGCATACCAGGCATACCTTGGAGCAAGAGCAAGTCTGTCATGCCGAACTATCAATTCAAACAACCAAGCACCAAAATCAACAGAAAGCCAAAGTCGAGGATGCTGACTATTCGCGCGCTTCCCTAAACACGAAGACGGGGAAATCTCGAACAAGACCATTTCCAAAATGCTTCGACACGTGCTGCCGGTGGGCAACCCGCCACGCATTGTTCAACCAAGGGTTGTGTGTGTCTCGCGAGTTCTTGCTCTCGCGCCGCCGCAGCCCAATATACATCCAACAGCAAGCTGGAGACACCGAAAACCAGCAGAGTCAACAGAAACGGTGCAAAACAGCACATCAACAGGATTAACGCAGAGTCGTCTTTGGTGGATTGCATTGTAGAACGCGGACAGCTTTCAGCTTATACAGGCCTTCCGGAGGACAACTCCAAGGGACATCCTTGCTATCACATTGCTATCTATACGCTTTGCTAGCATCAGATTTGAAGGACATGTTAGGCTTGCCTCGTGCCCAGGTATGGAGTTGTCTTTGAGAGCGTGCCGTCACTTCAGACACTCTTCAAGACCCCCAAGGCGCGCGCTGAACCTCGGAGTCGCAGCATTCCACTTTGCCCAGCAGCATGCAAAGCATGCGGTACAGTGGAGGTCATACAGGCACTGCGCATGATCGACGAGCTCGACAATTTGGCGGCTTAACATCAGGTTTTAGGAATTCACATTTTGAAGGAATTGTTTTGAACATGAGGTCAAGCACCTGCAAAAGCCCAAAGAGCTCAAGCAGTACGCAGAGTCCATCGCCTTCCGCATTTGTCTCAGCTTCGCTCCAATTGCAGCAATGCATTCGCACGCGTCCATGAAGTCTGATCTGGTGATTCAGTGATCTTCGCTGCAGGCCACCTCAATTTCGAGGCAGCAAGGGTTGTTGTGAGCTTTGTTCAGCTTAGCTTTGCCTGTTTGACAGGGTTAGCGCATGGGACCGACATGGCATTCACAAGTCGCGTCAAGGTCACTGTGCCGCGAGCAATGATCTTCAGAGATGCCGGGTCCCGAGACCAGCCTCCAGCGCCCAGGCCTTTGCACAAGGCCAAGCACTCCAAGTAAGCCAACACAGTAAGAAGCGTAATGAGTTTAATAAGTAATGTATATACTTGTATCGTTGGCAAAATATTTTAGAAGCACCCGCGTTTCCACGCTGAGTGGGGTGTCCACAGCTGTATCAACCCCCCCGCCGCAGGTCCCAAGCGGACTTTTGACTGCTCAAAGTGCCGAGGCGTTGGTGGATTGTTTGAAAGCGGAGCTTTGCGATGACTTGTCCGAAGAGGCCAGAACTGAGGGCATCAGGGCATGCACACTTTCATTTATTGTTTGCACGGGCGCGATATTTCATGTGCTGCTTGTCGGCGAGGCAAGGATGGGGTTCATGGCGCTCTTCGGGTGGGTCGGAGGGGCCCCTTACCCATCGACAGCCCGTTTGGCGATGCACGCCATCTGTGTCGCACGCCTGAGGCCCACATCTACACCAAGACTACGTATGGTGACCGGCTGAAAATCCTCCGCGAAAGCTGGACGAAGGCCGTCACACCTCACAGATGCTGGCCAGCACATATACAGCCTCGCAGGTCAGCAGCAGGGAGAAGAACGAGGAGGTGGCCAGGCTGGAGCCCTCCCTCCCTCCCTCCCTCCACTCCCTCCCCCCCTCTCTCCCCCTTCTCTCCCCCTCTCTCCCCCTCTCTCCCCCTCTCTCCCCCTCTCTCCCCCTCTCTCCCCCTCTCTCCCCCTCTCTCCCCCTCTCTCCCTCTCCCCCTCTCTCCCCCTCTGTCCCCCTCTCTCCCCCTCTCTCCCTCTCTCCCCCCTCTCTCTCCCCCTCTCTACCCCCCTTTCTCCCCCTCTTTCTCCCCCTCTTTCTCCCTCTCTTTCTCCCTCTCTTTCTCCCTCTCTTTCTCCCTCTCTTTCTCCCTCTCTTTCTCCCTCTCTTTCTCCCTCTCTTTCTCCCTCTCTTTCTCCCTCTCTTTCTCCCTCTCTTTCTCCCTCTCTTTCTCCCTCTCTTTCTCCCTCTCTTTCTCCCTCTCTTTCTCCCTCTCTTTCTCCCTCTCTTTCTCCCTCTCTTTCTCCCTCTCCCTCTCTTTCTCCCTCTCTTTCTCCCCCTCTCCCTCTCGCCCTCTCGCCCTCTCCCTCTCGCCCTCTCGCCCTCTCGCCCTCTCCCCCTCTCCCCCTCTCCCCCTCTCCCCCCCTCTCCCCCTCTCCCCCTCTCCCCCTCTCCCCCTCTCCTCCTCTCCTACTCTCTCTCTCTCTCTCTCTCTCTCTCTCTCTCTCTCTCTCTCTCTCTCTCTCTGTCTCTCTGTCTCTCTTTCTTTCTTTCTCTCTCTCTCTCTCTCTCTCTCTCTTTTCTCGCTTTCGCACTCATTCTTGCTCTCTCTCTCTCTCTCTCCCTCTCCCTCTCTCTCTTCCTGTCCCTCTCCCTCTCCCTCTCACTCTCCCTCTCTCTCTCTCTCTCTCTCTCTCTCTCTCTCTGTCTCTCTCTCTGTCTCTCTCTCTCTCTCTCTCTCTCTGTCTCTCTCTCTCTCTCTGTCTCTCTCTGTCTCTCTCTCTCTGTCTCTCTCTCTCTCTCTCTCTCTGTCTCTCTCTCTCACTCTCTGTCTCTCTCTCTCTCTCTCTGTCTCTCTCTGTCTCTCTCTGTCTCTCTCTGTCTCTCTCTCCCTCTCTTTTTTTATGCTTTGCTCTCACTCTTGCTCTCTCTCACTCGCGCTTTCTCTTTCCTCTCGCTCTCGCTGTTGCTTTCGCTCTTGCGCTCTCTCTCTCTCTCTCTCTGTCTCTCTCTCTCTCTCTCTCTCTCTCTCTCTCTCTCTCTCCGCTCTCTCTCGCTTCGCTTTCCTCTCGCTCTCGCTGTTGCTTTCGCTCTTGCTCTTGCTCTCACTCTATCTCTTGCTCTCGTTCACGCTCTTGCTCTCGCTCTTTTGCTCTTGCCCTCGCTTTTGCTCTCGTGCTCTTGCTCTCGCTATTGCCTTTGCTCTCGCTATTGCCTTTGCTCTCGCTCTTGCTCTCGCTCTTGCTCTCGCTCTTGCTCTCGCTCTTGCTCTCGCTCTTGCTCTCGCTCTTGCACTTTGTCTTGCTCTCGCTCCGACTCTCGCTCTTTCTTTCGTTCTTGCTCTCGCTCTTGCTCTCGCCCTTGCTCTTGGTCTCGCTTTTGCTCTTCTCGCTCTTGCTCTCGGCGTTGCTCTCACGCTCACTTTCGCTCTTGCTCTCTTTTTAGTTTGCCTTGCTCTCGCGCTTTCTCTCGCTCTTGCTCTCGCTCTTTCTAGCGCTCTCGCTTTCACTTTCCCCTCGCTCTTGCTCTCGCTCGTGCTTTCACTCTTGCTTTCCCTCTTGCTCTCACCCTTACTCTTGCTCTTACTCTCGCTTTTGCACTTGCTCTTGCTCTCTCTTTGCTCTCGCTCTTGCTCGCTTTCGCTTTTGCTCTCTCTCTCTCTCTCTGCCTGTGTCTCTCCCACGCCCGGCCTGCACAGGATAATAGCGGAAGATGTGGCTCAAACCGCAAACAAGGAGGAGGAGGACGTTTGCTGTGCACTGCTTGCAGCGATTTGTGGAAGGCTGTGCCTACTGCTTTAGAATGTAGCTCTGGGTTCTTCATGGCTCAATCAGCTCAAGTAGCGCCGGGAGATTAGACTCATCAGACTGTGCGATTTGGCGATGGAGGGTCAAGCCCGCCGGGCGCTGAGACGCGGCCTGTGAGATGCCTCCAAGCACGGCATGCATGCGCCATGCACGCGCCGACGCCGAGGCCCCAGGCGCTGGCAGCGCGCGGAAGTCCAGGCCCCTCGCATTGACCTCAGCTCGGGTGTGTGTGTGTGTGTTACCTTCACACCTCGGCATTGGCAAGGTGAAGGTCGCAAGGCTGATTCGGAACCGGAACGAAGAGTCGTCGCTTTCCTCAATGAGCAATTTAGCAGCGTTTGCTGCTTCTGGTGGGCACTTGCGCCGAGGTGATCTTCGATATGGAGACGGGCGACCCAGATGATGTGTTGACCTTGCTGCTTCTGGCCTCGCACCCCAACGTGGAGCTGCGTGCTGCCACCCGGCGACAGGGTCAGCCTGCCAGCCGCGAGTGTCGAATCTCAGGTCACCATAACGCCGGGCTCCAGGGATCAGGTTTCCCTGGTCATGTGGCTTGTGCGGGAGCTCCAGCTCAAGGTCAGGGTTGGAGCCCAGGACTGGCCACAGAATGCAGGTAAAGTTTGCTTGCGGGGCAAGTTCTATGACTCCTTCGGGAGACTCCCAGACGGTGATGTACAAGGCCACTGTCAGAATTCGGCAAGTTGCAGGGTTGCACTAGGACTCCTGTATTTTTTTTGGTTTTATGAAAACCTTTCACTGAGTGTTTGCTACAAACACAAGCAAACAAAAGCAAAACAAACCAATGCAGTTTCATTGTAACTCAGCTGTCAGGCATCGAGCCGGCTGCCTTGGTGCTTCGAGACTGCTGCGATCAGAACACAACGCTTCTCACTGGAGGCGTGGCCCCAACCTCATTGCATTGCCCTCTTTGCTTTTCAGTAGTGCCCGGAACTTTGGATTCGGATTGTCATTTCCAGCAGGTCCTTTGCACAATCTTGGCGCGGCCTTGGCCCTTGACGGCTTCACGCTGGGGCGATGGGTTGCACAGGGTGGCTTTGCTGGTGAAGGCGTGGTGCCACGTGAGCTGCAAATGGAGACGCGCAGCTGCATGGGGGCAGCCGATTCGCAACGTTGCGAACATGGCATGCGGATTTTCGGATTTTGTACCCGGCGGGCATGAGGAAATTTGCAGGCATGAGCACATGCCAAACCTGGAACTTCAATGGCCCAGGGCTCAGCTCCGCTTGCGGGCCTTGCGCGCTGTCTTGAGTGTTCCTAAGGGTCCTAAGGCAACCGGCCAGCTGCCCAATCTGCTCTGGCCAGCAATTCCATTGAAAGAAAAGTCCTGGTCTCCAAGAATGTTTGCCATCGCGCGCCCTGACTCACTCATTTCTTGGTCTGGTTGGCCCTGCGACGTTTAAAGCACGGGACACACATGCAGACACATTCAGCGAGCTTATCAAGTCACGTGAAGTTTGCTCGAATGTTTGGCCGCATCGCGAGGCAGTCTATGATGCGCGCTTCCACCAGTCCTTCCTGCACGCATTTGAATCATCGCCACCTCTAAGCACAAGGGGGGTAGCCCTGAAGCTGTGTCTCAGATGCATTTTGGATTCTCCGGAGAAGCAAACCCCTCAACACAGCTGCACTTGTCTTTGGCTTGCTAGACTGACTTAAGTTGAGGCTGTGCTCTGCTATGGGCAGCTATCAGCGTGGTGATGGCAAAAAGCTCCACGATCCTCTGGCGATGGCTGCAACCATTGACGAAGGAGTCTGCCAATTTGCGGAGGTCTCCGTGCTGTGTGACAAGCGTGGGTGGGGCTCTGTGTTGCAACCTGGCACAAACACCTGGATCAGCATTGACTATGACGACGAGAGATTTAGGCAAATCCTCCTGGGCGGCCCAACATAACGCCTGCTTTGCTTTGACTTGCCAACTTGGCTGGCAGAAGCAGGCTGTACAGGAATTCCAGCTTACGCAGGTGGTATCATGATGGCCGAAGAATTGTACAGAGTGCTGACAGGCTGCAAAAGGTCAATGGGCAGTGCCCGCCACTGCCACAGACTGACTTCAGATGTGCATTTGCGCATGACACCTTTCGAGCGTTGCCGGCAACGTGACTGGATGCATTTTTCGAGTGTGGTACTGTTGCAAACTATTGCGCCATGTTGGCTTTCAATCGCAAATGCACGCGACATGTTGTTGCTCACATCGAGTGGCAACACTATAACCTTCCACAAAGTATACTGAAGGAGAAGGGCGAGAAGAGTGCCAATGACGATGCGAGTGAGGGCTCGGCTGCTTGCCACGATTTCCGTTTTCTGCAAGTGCCATGGCGGTTTTGTGTTTCTTGCTTTGGTCTCTCCAAGGTCAGCGAAGACTTTTCAGATCATGTCGTGGCCACCAAGCAGGAGGAGTCTCAGGCAGATGGGGAGTCGATTTGCTTCGGAGCGTCTTTCTGCATGCCAGGGCTGCTGCGCCTTCTTGCGCCGAAGGGGTCTCGGTGGCTTACCTAGACCTGAAGGGGTTCGTATCTTGTCCTTGCATCTCGAGATTGCGTTGTAGGCTCCAGTGCTGCCCCTTCCGCCGGTGGAAAGGCCAGCAGCTCCCTGCTGCGGGTTTGACGCGGATGCAGCTCCTGTCAGGACGGCTCGTCCAGGAAAAATGTTGCAGATGGGGCGGAGCGCACCCAAGCTGCACGTCGGGTGGCTGACATTTTGCAAAAACTCGAACCCTTCGGCTTGTGAGCTTTTTCAGCTGAGGCACTGCTGGCAATGCATCGAACGCCATGGTGGTTCCCATGACCTTTTCTGCGACCTGGCAATGATTGCTGCAACACAGCGTAAGGCACACGGTGTTTGCTGAATTTGAGATGGATTCTCAGGACATGTTCAGATTCAACGCGCAGGTGATGGGATTTGGCGTTGGCGGGTGGATGCTTTTCAAAGTTGATTTGCGCGAGCAAATCCCGCACACTCCCCATGTTGTGTAGTTTGCTTTGACCTAAGGATGGATCAGATCCTGCATTCCTTGGGCGACATAGTCATGAATGCTGCAGATGCTACGCGTCTTCATGAAGAGTGTGATTTACTGTCACTGCGGATCGACAAGGCGAATCTAGCACAAGACAGTGCCAGTGATCCTTATTCCTTGCCAGGTGTCAACCGGTCAAGCGCCCAACTCAGCACCCAACCGACATGCTCCAATTTGCGTTTGACACTGTTTCACATTCAAGCTTGGATCGATTTGTCAGGTGCCGAACTTGTCGCAGTTCAAGTCATGCATGCTGGCTTCGTTGCGGTCTCTTCTTCCAAAGGCCGGTCGCAACACGCCGCATTGCAATTGAAGCCTTGACGCCGTGGCGGAGGAATGGGATACTAACTACGAAGTTGCTTGGAACTGGCTGTGGGACAATGTGGCACAGCTGCTGGTTGCTTTGGTCGCATTGTGCATCACCGTGCATTATTAAACTGATCAAATCAGGCAAAGAGGGATGCACCCCAAAGCGAACAATTTCTGAGTGCAAACAGGGGACTAGTTTGCCAGTGTAAGGGTTGGATAGTAGCGCATTTCTAATCGGAGGGCCAATTTTTTACGGTTTTTCTTCATTTTTGTTTTTCAGGGTGGGTGGCTTTGCGGCTTTTTTGCTCTTTGGCTTTTAGGTGGGTCATTTCGCATCCTCTGCAGGGGCTTTTGGCTTTTCGCATCCTCTGCATTGCCAGTTCCTCTCCAGCAGGTGGCTTTTTGGCTTTGTGGCTTTTGGTGGCTTTGCTTTACGAGTTGGTTTTTTTGGCCTTGGCTTCCTGCATCCTCAGCATCCTGGTGCCCCTCGCCACCCCCCTTTCGGGGAAAAAACACACACACACACACACACACACACACACACACACACACACACACACACACACACACACACACACACACACACACACACACACACACACACACACACACACACACACACACACACACACACACACACACACACACACACACACACACACACACACACACACACACACACACACACACACACACACACACACACACACACACACACACACACACACACACACACACACACACACACACACACACACACACACACACACACACACACACACACACACACACACACACACACACACACACACACACACACACACACACACACACACACACACACACACACCCGTAATTGAATCCTCATTTGTTCGATCATCATGGAGGGGGCCTCCCCCCCGTGTGCAGTTCTTCGAACTTCATGGGGGGGCTGCCGTCCCCCCCTGCCACACCAAGGTGCTACTCGCCCCCCAACCCCCGCTACTTTTTAGATGTTTTGCTTCCAATTGAATCATCACTTCTTCGATCATCATTGGGGGGGGGCCTGCCGCCCCCCCCCCCCCAACTCCCGCTTTTTGCCCCTAATTGAATCATCACTTTGTTGAATCATCCCCCGCTACTTTTTTTGCCCCTAATTCACTCCTCACTCCCCCGGTCATCCCCCGGTCATCATGGGGGGGGGCTGCCGCCCCCCGCAACCCCCCCGCTACTTTTTAGATTTGTTGCCCCTAATTCAAAAGGTCTTGGCATACGGTAGCACCAGGCAGGCGTCGCTCCATAATGCCTGAAAGATGCTTAGCCAGATGAGGCAAGATGTTGCAAAACGAATCCCGACTCAAAGAAAAACCAACCTCATCCGCAGCTAGCCCAAGTTTGCCCAATATCTTGTCTTGGACCATACAAGTGCCTCAACAACCTGCTGGTGATGCTAAGGATGATGGTGTGACACGACGGGGGAGTTGCTGGTGACGCTGGGGATGTTGGCTGGACATGTGGGGGATGTTGAAAACGATGCTGATGATGTTGACGGGCTAGTGTAGAATACGTACGTTTCGTGAGAAAATGCTGTAAAATACAGCATTTTACTAGCCAAGACGGAAAAACAAAAGTAAACAAATAAAACAACAAATCCAAAATTAAATCTCAACCCTTTCTAAGCTGTCATATGTCGTGAAATGTCAGTTCAGAATGCTTGAAGATTTGGCCTTGCAATGAGGTGAAGACGTTGGGCAGCTCCATGCAGTGGGAGGCGGGGCGCTTTGCGGGTGGCCGTCGGCTCGTAACTCGCAAGTCCAGGCGGCGGTGAACACTTTCTTCGCATCGCTGGCAGACGATACTCGCAGCTTCCCGAGCATTTTTTGAAATGCGAAATGCAGCCATCGTAGCAGAAATTTGCAAATCGCGCTCAGAGAACGCCTGGCTGCCAATGGCACTCACTGCCTCTCAGGTTACGAGCTTCGTGCCTCGATCTACGACCGCGATTGCCTCATTTGCGCACGCTCAGTTAGGCCTCACATGCCTTGAGTTGGAGGCTTCTTCGCTTCCACCCCTGCCGGGCAAGAATATTTCAAGCAATCTGACACACGTTTGCACTTCATCGTGGAGAAGGCGTCAAATGTAAGTACGCCTCGATGATTCTTTGCGGGTTGCGGGCCGGGTGCAGGTTTTCACATTCTCCATGGAGATCTACGCGGATCCATGGCAGGCATGGCCAATCCATGAGTTTCCCACAAACCCTTCAGTGCGTGCCAAACCGAGTTGATCGATGATCTGTCGGCCTTGGGGCTGCGGCACGTCGGCTACGGCGTGCCGACTGACATGTTTGCGCCTTTTGCCGTGCACTCAGTCGAGTTTGCGGGCTACCGTATTTCCTTCAACTTCAGCCGTGCCGTGCGTGTCGTTGGCGCGTGTGATGCCACATCAGGTAAATGCGTGCGTGGACGTGATCAAGGGGGCAACGGAATCTTGGTTGCCACCAGCTCCTGTGAAGATTGATGGGATCGTGCAGCTGCATGTAGACCAAGGAAGATGGCATCGCCGTAATTGGCTTTCGGACGTCCTTGGGCATCGTCGCCAAGCAATTGGCTTGCTCCTCACGGATAGCAGTACAGGTGTATGTGCTCTTGCCTTGTTGCAGGTTCGAACGGTAGCAGAGGGATCCACAATCGTAATGAAGGCAAGCCTGCAGCCCGGAAATTGGCCTGGCTGAGCCT